TTTTATATTTGGGGGTATTTTAGGTAGTTCCTAATATTAAGAAAAGTCAAAGGCCAAAGTGGAAATAAGGCCTTTCTATTTTGGCTATTTTCATGTATTTCCCCAATCCTTCACAGGGTAATATTAGCACATGAATATTAGCAAATTGAAATCTAAAACAGAGTGCACGCACACCAATTTCCCCATATAAAATACTATCAATGTACTTTTGCTCAAAAAGGCTAGAATTTCATTGACCAAAATATTCACACGTCGTGCAACTAAATAGTAAATATTCCTCTTCAATCGAATCTTAAATTTTTCATGTTCATTATATAGTCTTATCATGTCTATTTCTGAATGATAAATATAGTAAGAATTTAACACTGAAGACACAAATGTTGTTAGGAAATGCCTTGTTTACATTTTTATTGATTGTCAAACATCACTAAAAATTAACATCTCCAAATTGACTACATTTTTGCCCATAGACTCTCATCTAAAAACTTAAAACGATTATAACAATCAGAATCCCCAGAAAAATTATGTATGCTTTGACACCACTTGTTATTAATAAAATGTGAGATTATGTGGCATAATATGAACTAGCAATCACAACACAAGAAGAAGAACATAACATGGTAGATGAACGAATATTTTATTAATAATGGGGAGAAAATACAAAGAATATTGTGTATCTAATACAGTTCTAACTCTCTCAAAATCAAATGATAGTCATACAAATCGTGTGGATTATACATGGGACTCAAAAGAATATTTTATGTTTGGAAATGGGATAAAAAACGAGCCAAAAATATGTAAAGAAATATTTCCCGTATAACGCTGCTGCTTGAGCTGCAGCTTAGTGCTAAGGGGCGCTCGAGCGGTGGAGTGACACTTTCAATGGCGCTCAAGACCTGAGTTTTGAGTTCAAAATTTGTTTCTTGGCTCCTAAACTTTTAAATCATATTTTTAATCATGTTATTAGAATAGACAAAAAAAATTTTGTTCAACTCTAACTGTCGCCTATTTATTAAAAAAAGTGCACGTATAAGGCTTTAATTGAAAAATAAATAAATAAATACAT